GTGGTTGTTAAAGTCTACATGATATTGTATTTAGAGTGACCAGCCATGTACACTCCTTTCTACCTGCGGTCCTCCAGTTCCGTCTCTCTCATTACAGACCAGGAGAGCGGCAGTTTGAGGAGCTTTCGTGACTGCTCAGTGCTTGTTGTGACAAGATTGGCCTCTAATTGAGAGATCTGTGTCATTCAAAAAGATCAAATGAAGCCGTCATGGGTGTTCCTATGCTATGGGCACTACAATACTAAGATTTTCCCATTTTTGTTATATAAAGGTTACATTAAAACCATTCCTTTATCAGTTATTTTTGCGAATTTTCAAATGCTTTATTTATAGATTTGCACTCTACACACGAGAGCGTCGCTTCCATCTTGTCCAGATTGGATGTGATGTGTGGGCTGTCGAGCGGTGCAGATGCCATACTGCTGCGCTCTCCCGCTGTGTGACTGCATAGTGCTGTTGAGGAGGCAATGAGGGTCTTTCTGAACCACTGGCCATACCTCTCTTTTCATTATCCTCTCCCCTGGTGTGAGACTACTGCACTGGAGACGAGAGGGGGGCTCGTTTGTCAAGCTGTCATTGTTTTGAGGCTGCCTCCTCTCTGGAGCAGACCTTGGTGGGGAAGGCTAAAGATTGGGGTTTAGGGTTAAAGGCTACAGTGGGAGCTCCAACTCGGAGGTGGGCACCTGCTTTGTGGTGCATCCTAGTGGTTGTTAAAGTCTACATGATATTGTATTTGAGATCCTTCTGTTTTTTTTAGATCTAACTTCTGTAATGTAGGGTTGGACTTGATTTTATCATTTGAGAACTGATTGGATAGAGAAAAGTTAAATACCTGAAAAGAGCCAAAGACAAATGCAAGTTGGAAATTTGATTGTGGAACTTGGAGGTTATATAATAATGTAGCTTCTTTTCCATTTACTTTATTCTGTGAATGTTAACTAACATTAAATTACTGTTGGTTTTATCAAGACTGCAGATATCGGTAATTAAAACGGTATACAAACAAAACCTTCTAAGCAAACAAAAGGTACACAAACCAAAAACATCTATTTGGCTATTGGCTTTTTTGATGCAAGATTACTGTTTTTTCTTTAAAAATGTATTTTCTTTAAACATATTATGCATTCTTACAGGCCTCAAAAATTGAGTACAGTTACATTGACAAGCTGCTGTAAGGTGGAGCTTGTTGGGTAAATCAATGTTTTGCAAGAGTTGAGACACATAATACTCGTGCAACATGACTAGGGTACCTTTTTTCAAAGGCTACATTGTCACACGCACGCTCTTCCTCAGGGGGTGAATGTACATCGCTGCGCTGATTAGTATGCATGTTGCCGTACTTGTGTTCATGTCTTCGTCTTGTTTTCCGCTGTCTCGCTCTCTCTGTTTGCTCTCAGGCTCGGAAATGGTGTAACAGAAACAGAGGATGCTGAAACGAGACAGGCAGCAAAATTACAGGAAGAGTGTGTGTCTGTGTGTGTGTGTGTGTGAAGAAGAGGGCAGCCTAATTGGTGATAGCCTGCAGCCTCGTCATCTCCAGAGCTTCCTCACAAGCGAGTGATGTCTCTGTACTGGTTCCATGCCAGATGTTGTCCTCTGGCTGAGAGGCCGGTCTTTGCACAGAGGCAGATGTGTCCGGCCTCCATTATCGTGCTAAATTATCTAGGCATATACACAGTACCAAGCGCCTCATCGGAGCTATTTGGGGGTTTTTCTGCCTCTTTTCTCTCTATTTTTTAAACAAAACTCTCATACTCAGCACTTCTGTGGTTCTGTACCCCTTTTCCACCAAAATTGTGCTAGTGATCTGCAAACCCCTCTCAGAATTGGCTCTTGTTTTCCCCCTGAGAGCAGAACAAAGATATAACTACTAGTGCTGTCAAAATTAGCGCGTTAATGCATACGATACATTTTTTCAGTTTTAAGTTTTTCAGTTACATTTTTTCAGTTTTTCATTAATTTTTTCAGGCATTAAAAATATTTTACGCAATTAACACAGGGGCGGAGCTAGGGTTGGCCACCCCACTCACAAGTGCTGCTTCTGTCTCTTTTTTCTTGACAAGAATTGCGTTTTATTTAGACGCAGAACATCTTTACAACCACATCAAACAGGAGACTTTTCAGACGCGCACTCCAACTTCACCTCAGCGCCAGGCGCTAGTCAAACAAGCGTGGAAAAGGTACAGGTGATGAGGAGCTTCAGTAGAACAACAGTGAGCTGCTGTCAGATGACATGTTGTCAGGCCGTATGTCAGTAAAAACCAATTTTCCTGTCCTGTCAGCCGTTATACTGTGCTCGTAGCACGTGCTCTTCAAATGCACGCACAAATATAGCAACACGCACTGTATTATATTAAAACGCTATAACATATTAAAGTGCAAATTAAACTATGAGCTTATGACGTCAGTTAAGTCATGAAGTTACCAAAAATGGCAATTAAAGCTGCCTTAAAACTGTGCATCTAAGTATTTGTTATTTATGAGTCAGATTTAAGAACATATCTCTGAAACGCAGTGGTTTTCAAAACTGTCCTGGAGCACCCCAGCACTGTCTGTCCCCGCTCATCTAACACACCCGGTTCAACTCGTCAGTTCATTACTAGAGACTGTTGTGGGTCAGAAAAGGTAAAGAGTTGTGAGAAAATAAGATGCGTGTTAGATCTGCATCATGTTCAGCAGCGGCAGCTCTTAAAGCAGCCAAAATAACCTAATAACCCAGCTGCTGTGATGTCTCTTAATCAAAGAACATACGAAAAAGAGCTTTAATGATTCATCTATATTTAATTTAGAATTAAGTGTTTGATAACTGTATTCAATTTCTGTATATTTCCTACTTGCTGAAGGGCACAGGTAGCTAAATATGACATTTATTATAATGGGTTTATGTGAAGATTGTTTTAAGTCAAATTTTTTTAAAGTCTAATAAATGTTAAAATTGATAGCTCTCAATCATAGCTACTGTAATGTTGAATGGCTATAGTCAATGGTTAAATATTAGGGGAAAAAAACTATTTACTAGAGACATCAGTAGTGTTGGTATCAGTGATACTCACCTTCAGACATAAAAAAAAAAGATGACGCTAAACGAATATTAAAAAATATACTGTATTTATGTTGTTTCTACATTAATTTCAAGATTGAATGTGAAATTATTGCAATGTAAAAGTATATTTAAAAACTTTAATGTTAGGTGGGATTAATCGCGGTTAATTTCAGAAAAAATGTGTGATGAATTAATTAGTTAATTTTTTTAATCGATTGACAGCACTTATAACTACAGTAACTGCTTTTTTAAACAGTACTGTATTTGCCAAGTACCATTTTATACAATATTTGAAATAATAGCCTATAATTTTATTCTAACTGTGGTTCTCACGCAATGTTATACAATTCAAGGAAACATTGCCTTGTATAAAATAAAATAGCTTCTGATTTATTTATATATATATAAAAAAAAAAGAGAACAACTAAAAGTCTTACTGTAGTTCCAGAGCAAAAGTCACATGAGAGTTGGTAATTAACAATATACAGCTCACTTGGTGGTCATTTTATTCTTTAAATATATTAAAATAGAACACAGTAGTTTTAAATTGTAATAATATTTTACATGATTACTGATTTTACTCTATTTTGATCAAATAAATGCAGCTTTGGTGAGCATTAAAAAAAACTCCCAACATTTAAATATTTTTTTATTTTATTTTATTTTATTTTATTTTATTCTCATTTCAGGGTCTTTATGCCATTACAAGCCGATGCAAGCATCAGATATTATTTAGCTAATAAAATTCCTAATAATTAAAATATTTGTGTATTTTTGGGAATGTCTTTTAAACATGTTGTTGGACTCTTATGGTTTTAACTCACTGAGGATTTTTTTTTATTCACTAATTCACAATTTTTGAAAATATTTTTGATAGAGATCAAAGTTTAGTTTTTATTTACCTTTATTTAACCAGGAAATTAAAAACTCTTGAGATTTAAAATCTCATTTACAAGAGGGTCCTGGCCAAGATAGGCAGCACATTTAGTTACACATAAAACAAAATACATTCGTTTACATACACAGAAACATACATAAATCACTCAAAACATTTACAATCAGGTGACTCTACAATTAGATCCTTTAAAATACATTTAAAATCATTTAGTGATACCAACTCTTTTAAGCATAACTTATCTGAGATTTTATCAAAGATAGATTTTTAAAAATGTTCAGTTATTTTTAATAGGTCTTGTATTGTTATGGTTTTCATTTTTATCACTTTTATTATATATATATATTTTTTTTTTTATTTTATTTATTTATTTTTTTTGCCATGAAAAACGAGAGTTAAGCAAACAAACAAACAAAATAATGGGGTGGTAAAGTGTTGTGGATCCAGTTTTGTTTCCTATTGATTCCAGCCTGGAATCAGCTTTTATGAAGTGGAAATGTGCAGAAAAGTTGCAGATCCGGCAATGGCACACTGTCGGCTGGCATGTGTGTCTCCTCCTCTCTTTCTGGACTGTATATCTCTGATTGAGCAACTGGTGAGATTATGCCAGTCGTTCTGAGACCTCAACTATCTCCCATTACAAATGAGATGTCTTGAGATCCGGCCCACTAAACTGAATTGCTCAATAAAATAATTGTGATACGAATAAACAGATTAAAGCAACGGACTGCGGTAAACGGTGCTTCAAAAGCCCCTCAGCAGGAATACATTATATGGTGTCTTGATAAATACTGCTTTGCAATAAAAAGAACAAATAAAACGTGGTGTATAATGAGTCATTTTTATGGCCTTTATCTTCTGGTTAGACTGAGCAGCTCTGTGCTACTGTTGTGAAATGCTGTAGAGAATTTCAGTGTCTGGCTGTAAAACATTTTAGTAACCAGTCATTCATCTGTCGCCATCGACACTAGGGTTTATGATCAGCCACAGAGCTGCTGTCACTGCCCAGCACCCTCCTTTTTTTACTGTTTCCTAAATTCTCTCTCCTCTTCTCTCTCTCAGATGCCACCATCCTCAGTTATGATGGCAGTAAGTTCATGAAGATCCAGTTGCCAGTAGTGATGCACACAGAAGCAGAAGACGTGTCGTTGCGCTTCCGTTCCCAGCGTGCCTATGGTGTTCTCATGGCAACCACCTCCCGGAACTCAGCAGACACTCTGAGACTGGAGCTGGACGGAGGGCGTGTCCGACTCACTGTCAATCTAGGTACATCAGCCAATTGGATCGCTCACCTTAGTAGTTAACACCACACATATATATAAAATGTACTGAAATGTCACACAACATAGCATGGAATATTTTGGTTTCAATTTGCAGGCATATTACTACATTATTTTTTCATCTATTGTCTATGTTAATACGATTAACAATGTAAGATTTATTTTTGCCAATATTTCCCTTTATTATTCAGGTAACACCTACATATTTACTTGCCTATGGGGACATATCATTGACTATTAGGCTATTGTTTTTATATACAGCTAATTATATATACTATAGACTATTAGACTATAACTATTATATTATATTAATTATATTACCGTTCAAAAGTTTGCAGGTCAATAAGACCCCAGAAATTAATATTTCCATACATCAAGGATGCATTAAATTGATCAAAGTGACAGTAAAGACAAATGATTCAATTTCATGCTAAATAAATTATCTTCTTTGAACTTGGTATTTATTTAAAAAAAAACATGAAAAATATTGTATCACGACCACAAAAATATTAAGCAGCACGTCTGTTTTTAACATTGATAATAATAAGAAATGTTTCTTGAACACCAAATCAGCATATTAGAATGATTTCTGAAGGATCTTGTGACACTGAAGCTGCTGCTGTAAATTTAGCTTTGCCATCACAGGAATAAATTGCTTTTTGAAGTATATTAAAATAGAACAGTTGTTTTAAAATGTAATAATGTTTTACATTATTATTTTATTGAATTTTGATCAAATAAATGCAGACTTGTTGAGCATAAGAGACTTCATTCAAAAACAAAAAATCTCAAACTTTTGAACGGTATATTATATTATATTATATTATATTATATATACTAAATGAGGTTTTGTCCAATTTTGCTCATTTTTGGGGATACATTCGTATGTACACACACACACATACATTAAACATATTACAATCCTTGTGTGCTGAAGAGAAGGATGTAGAACCTTCAACGGCCAGAGTCTGCGGCCAAGCGCTCACTCCCAGATGAGCACGCTGTAGACTTTCCCTACCAGAGAGTGCACAGTCCCAGCCTTGTACTGATACACAATAGTCCTTCTCCTGCATACTATAGACTCCTCGCTAGAGCGTTACACGTGTCAGGAGTACTGACAAGCCATTGTTCCGCTCAGTACATTTCATTTACATTTCCCCAGAAGCCACTACACTTTCCTCCCTCGTTCGCACAGCTTAATATTATACAGTCTTGCTCCACTCATAAAGCACCACCTCTGCTATTCACGAGTTCAAGCTAGTTCACACTAAGTAAATTTGAACATCAGTCGTTTAACTGTCCTCCCACATCATGTCAGGTATTTCTCATGCAAAACTGAGCTAAAAAAGTTCCTCTGCAGAAATGTGCAGAACCAAACATTCCCTTGCTAAGATGAATGTCAGCCATTCCCATCTGGCAGTGTGACGTACACGGTGCCATTTAACATGTCCGCTTGCATATAGCATGTCTAAAACCTTCTAGTAGTCCCTGCAGGCTCAAACCTGCACACCTCCGCATACACAGACAGACACGCACCCACACAAACACCAATCATTCCTTCTGTCTCGGAGGGTACTGCACTCCCTGTTAGGGTGAACACACGTTGCTCTCTGGCTGTTAGCGGCCACGATTTTCACTGTGGTTGACGACACGCGACGGGGCTGCAGCCTCATGGGAAAAAGATAGAGCTGGATTTGTGTAATGCTCTGAATTCCTCTCGGCCCTCCACTCCATCATTGCACACACTGAAGCATGGGACAGCCCAGACTGTGCATGAGAAATATCGATTCTCCATTCTAGAAGTACGCTTTGCAAAAGATAGTAATGGGAAAGGGGGGCCTCCTCCCAGGATTCAAGCAAGGTTTTATATTATACAGTACCAGCCAGAACAAAAGCAGTTTTATTGCACTGTTCAGTAAGGAGTCTCAGCGGTACTGTACTTTTTGGTGTTTTAAAGACAGTTCACCTTGAGTTTTTTTTTTTTTTTTTTAAGATTTAGGTTATAAGTTAAGTCAAATTCCAATGGGAACATAGGGGTTTGGAAAAGCAGTTAACATCTTGAATTTTAAGTGATATCAGAGCTCAAAAATAAGGACAGTAAGTGTGAGAGAGTTTTGGGCCACTTGACAGGCCAATTTTACATTTACATTTACATTTAGTCATTTAGCAGACGCTTTTATCCAAAGCGACTTACAAATGAGAACAATAAAAACAGTCAAAACTAACAAAAGATCAACAATATATAAGTGCAAATGACAAGTCTCGGTTAGCCTAACGCAGTACACGTAGCAAGGTGTATATAAATATATATATATACACCTTCACACACACTCACTCACTCACTCACTCACTCACTCACTCACTCACACA